GTGGGCTGCCTCCCACCCGCTCCCGCCTCTTTTTTTTCCCCCCCCCTCCCCCCCCCCCCCCCCCCCCCCCCCCCCCACAGCTGCAGCTCATAACCGATGATCAGCTCGTCTCTGATTTGAAGCCGTGAGCAACATGCTATTCACCGACTCTGTAGGAAGGACATGACGAGACTGAATCCACAGCTGTAAATGCTGATCACATCAGTATACGCTCTATCATCATGAACAACAACATCTGTCTTTCTGGGAAGTGGTGAGACCCTGCAGGGTCTTAAAATGAGTCACATCGGTAAAGTTACCAGAACACAAAACTCCCTAAAATCCACTGAAGGGGATGACTAAAACAAAGAAGGGAGCTCAAATTCCCCAAACAGAACTCTCATATTCCTCTGCTGCTGACCACAGCTCTCCATAAAGCTAAAGCTTTTGTTTTTAAGTAATATCTTAAAGTATAATTCTCTGTGGTATAACTGAAAACCGTAGATACATCATATAAGCTTTACGTAACAATTCTGTGAATGGATATTAGGCCTTCTAGACAGGCAGACCACATTTCATCTGAATTCTAACACTGTGATAATGGTCCCAGATTTACAGACACTGCTCTTTATACTTTTCAGGCCTTTCAACATGTGTGTATTCCATATACGAGTCTAATACAGTTTTGCGCCCCCCCCATCTCTCTGATCTGCTACAACCGTATGTCCCACCACGTTCCCCAAGGTCAGCGGACCAGTTGCTCCTCACAGTTCCAGGATCTCGTCTTAAGCGCAGAGGTGACAGGGCCTTCTCTGTAGCAGGACCAAGACTTTGGAACGAGTTACCTCTGCTTGTCAGACTGGCCCCCTCCCTCTCGGTTTTCAAGTCCCGTTTAAAAACCCACTACTATTCGGTGTCTTTCAACACCAGATGATATGTGTTTTGATCCTGTATGCTCCACACTGGTTTGTCGTCATTATCTGCATCGTTTTTATGTCTATATTCTGATTGACCTCATTTTGTATTTTGCTTTGTGTGTTACCTGCTGTTTTGTCTGTACAGCACTTTGGTTGGCCTTGTAGCTGTTTTAAGTGCTCTATAAATAAAGTGGTATGGTATGGTAATACAGTGAATCCACACTTCTACAAAAGGAGAAAACACTGCAATACAAAAACCCAAAAAAGTTCAATCTGGTCCTCTGGACATTCAAAAAAAAACAAAAACAAAACAAAGCAAAAAAATCTAGAAACGTTTCGTCTCTCATCCAAGAGACTTCCTCAGTCTGAGGTGCTGTTTTCAGCTCAGTCTCTTAAATAGCTATTAGCTATTCTAATGGCTATTTAAGAGACTGAGCTGAAAACAGCACCTCAGACTGAGGAAGTCTCTTGGATGAGAGACGAAACGTTTCTAGATTTTTTTGCTTTGTTTTGTTTTTGTTTGTTTTTTTGAATGTCCAGAGGACCAGATTGAACTTTTTTGGATTTTTCTACCTGGATTATTGAGCATGCATCAGGATGCAATACAAAAAGTTTCCCTGTCACGTGGATGTGTAGTTTCCCTCACTACACAACCTTAAAACAAACACAAATATGCGACACATGCTGAAGCAGATAAAAACACCAATCCATGGCCAAACAACAATGCATGGACTTGTGGGTCAAAGTCAACACCTTTAACATAGATTAATAAACTTTTGAAATACAAGTCTCTCCTCAGACGCAGCATCCTGCACAAGCACGGTTACTAATAACAAAAAAAGGGAACACAATAGATGTGCGTGCTAAAACTAGGTAATCCAAAAGACAAACATAAACAAATCTTAAGGCAATCAGAGCATAAGCAAAGCAATCAAGAAGCTTCCTCACACATGAACTCAATTTTGACCTGAAATGTCAGCTTGCTTGAGCCTTTGATCTTGTTACTGCTGGCTGACCTCTGACCCCACAGCTAAATAGCTTTGCGCAAAAATACCTGCAGGCACGAGGCCACAAACTAAGAATCCTCTGCAAGAACTGACCATTAACAAGGATCCAAAGTGCAGACACCTGATCAAAACAAGCATTTATGGAGATTCCTTGGAGAAGGTACATATATGTAAGTTCAGCATCCCCAAAACTCTGCTAAGGGCCTAGATAAGAGACATTTTAAAAAAGCTGGGTCAATAAATTTAGGTCTTCAGCCAGGTTGCTAGATCATTTGAAACTACATTAATCTATCCTGATGCATGCTCAATAATCCAGGTAGAAAAATCTAAAAAAGTTAAATCTGGTCCTCTGGACATTAAAAAAAACAAAACAAAGCAAATCAACAAAAGGCCAGGACTCTGCGGTCTACACTCATCTCCAGGCCAGCGGTCACTCTTTCAGGGATGAAGATGTTCACATCCTGGACAGAGAGGAACGATGGTTTGAGAGAGGAGTAAAGGAGGCCATCTTTGTGAAAAGAAATTGTCCATCATTAAACAGGGGTGGAGGCCTCCGGGTTCAACTGTCCCCCTCTTACAATGCTGTGATTGCTAGTATCACTCAGCCCTCTGTGAACAGTAAACAGCCATCAGTGTGCTAATGATCCATTGTTGGGCTGATGGTCCTTCTTGAGCATGTGATCAGCTGGTTTTGGTTGTCAGCAGCAAAACTGGTTGATCCACTCTGAGACGGTGCTATTTAAGAGACTGAGCTGAAAACAGCTCCTCAGACTGAGGAAGTCTCTCGGATGAGAGACGAAACGTTTCTACATTTTTTTGTTGATTTGCTTTGTTTTGTTTTTTTGAATGTCCAGAGGACCAGATTTAACTTTTTTAGATACATTAATCTATCCATTTATCTATCTTGAATTTAATTTAAACCCACAGCTTGTTAGAGGTGCAAAGGGCAATTTATGTGCAGAGTAGGTTCTACTAAAGTAAAAAATAAAAATCTACATTTTTTAACTGAAATAATAAAAAGTAAAGTAAAAACTGTTGAACTGTTACTGTTTCACACTAAACTAATTAAGTCATTTATACATTAGTGCCATTTTAAATTGGTTGCTATAGATGTAAAGTTTTGTTTATCAGAAACTTTCTGTACAGTGATCCTCACATCATGTCTGGAAGTTATCTAACAACATTTTTCCTATAAGAATGTTTTAGTATTCTTTCCTGTCTTCATATTTTTAACCCATGAAACAGTAAGATATTGATCAGAACAGGGACAAAAGGACTACAGGGGGGAAAGGGGAGCAGGACAATAATATTTATTTTAGAACAGACATGTTTTTCCTCACCATACATCTTGCCCTCATCTGAAAGAATGATCTTCCTCCTGCCACAAGGAGGGTAGATGGCCAAAGCTTCCTGAAAGCTCTGCTCGATGTCTGGACTCCACACGCCTTCGGGGTCCCCGTCCAATCCACGGTCGGCACTATCTGCCAGTCCCTCCCCATTGCCACTCTCCTCCTGAGCCCCATCAGGGCTGCCACGGCAACTCCACTCCGACGCAATGATGACGGTTCCAGCTACAACACCCCTGCAGCACACAGATGAGATATTGTTAGTAATTTTTGCTTTAGAAAATGATGAAGTTATAAAGCTTCCATATGTGATGTGCAAAATGATCTGCCGGGGAAACTGTTTACGTTTTTTTCCCCCCACATTAAATCAGCACTTGACCAAAATCATCCATAATACTAGAGAGCTGTTTATTTTTGCAGGAGATGAAATTAGAGAAAACAGCATTGCAATTAGCAAGGTTTATTTTCAATAAAAGAGGCAAAATACTTGTGCTGAAAACACAATCAAACTTAATCAAATACAGAAGTATGTACAAATCTAAAGTCTCACCACTATTTGCACAAGTAATAACAAAAGATATTTTACCAGAGTTCCCAGCATTTCATGAAAATAAAATTTCTCGAGTTTCCCAGATTTTTCCCCGAGTAAATCCTGAAATTCAATGAGAGGTTTCATTCATTCACACAAAAGGCTCAAAACTTAGCATCTTGGTGGTGGTCAGAGTTACATTCAGAGATTTGTTATTTTTAGGCTGCCCCCTCCCTCAGGGGTTGCCACAGCAAAACTAACTCAAATGAAAACATGGCAATTGTTTTTACACTGGATGTCCTTCCTGACGCAACCACAGACCACTGAGCTACCACAGCCCTCTGTGTGGAGCAGAGAGCTGACATCTAGGGCACCCGGGGGAGCAGATGGTGGGGGTTAAGGGCCTTGCTCAAAGGCTCAGAGTGGGGAAATCATCATCAAGAAACATGATCCCCATTCATATAGTGACCAAGCCTGAGTTTACGGCTTTAGTAAACACAATGGATAAGTGGTACAGAATGCCCTCGCGCACACATTTTAGCCAAGTTGCTATCCCGGAGCTATACAAAAACAATGCAGAAACAGAGTTGCAGCGGAGCTGAAAACAGTGGAGATTTTTGCAACTGAAACAGATTTATTGCTTGTGATCATTGAAAAATATGTGAGAAGAAGACATTGAAAAATAATCGCAAATTAAATCTAGGGATGGGGCCAATCCAATCGAGTATCGGCCTCCGATACCAGCATAATTTATGTATCGGATTTTCCGATCCACCTGCCGATATTTCCGATCCATGATGCAAGTTGGCTTCAAACTATGGAATGGATTTCCTGAACGGCGGCGTGTCTCATGAACCCAGAGTAATAAGACCCGCCTCACATTCAGGAAATCCATTTCATAGTTTGCAGCCAGCTACAATGTGAGGACTGAGTTAGCAGCACTGTGGCTAACAGCTAACAAACTTTTCATCTAAACATGTCCGCTGTGTGGAAGTATTTTACACTAGAAACACAAAACAAGACAGCAATGTGCAATGTCTGCAGAGCCATAGCGCCACATTAAACAGAGGTAAAGTTAGTTTTACGATGGACATTTGAGCTCCGTGGCTTCAGCGGGGCGCTGCTCTTTGCTCAACCCACAACAGGCGACTCGACCCCGGCCAGCCGCGTCCAATCTGCCCGTCTCTGAGGAGGGACAGACTGAGCGTGGCTGCCCCAAATCAGGCTGCCTGCTTCGGATTGAACAAGAAGAAGACATCGCTGAAACCACGGAGCTCAAATGTTTACAGAGAAGTTGCTAAACTTCATCATAATTAATGACCAACCACTATCAGTTGTAGAAAACAAAGGGTTTCACAGTTTGATATTTGCTTCCAAGATATAGTTTACCCTCCAGGAGATATTTATCAGTACAAGAGTAGACAATCATAAAAAACATGATTTGAAAATTATATATATTAAAAACAAAAACAGCTACATTATAAAGTGATGTAAAATACTAAAAACAGGAACATGCCTGTTGGTTTATGCCAGGTGTTTGAAGCCATTTAACATTTTATTTTATTTAATTCATTTATTCATTCATTCATTCATTTAAAAGAAACAAAAAAAAAAAATCATCAAAAAGAAAACATTGAATGAAAAGAGTGCAGAAAGAAGAAAAATAATTCTTACATCTGCCCCTTATTTAAAAAAAATATATAAAATAACTAAACAATCACATAAATTAATCACTTTAATATCCACTTTAAAGCTAGGAATAAAAATAAACATCTTTTGTGTTAGCAGAATTTAATTCTAACTTTAAAACTTATCCAACATTAATAAAACTTACCTCAAGTCGCCTTTTTTGACATGCATGCATATATTTGTACAAATTGTACTTGAGAGGAGATTATTACAGCCTCATATAAAATCATTGATGATCATGATATCGGAACTGGATCGGTATTGGCCGATATTTAGATTTAGGTACCGGGATCGGAAGTAAAAAAAAAAAGTGGATCGGTGCATCCCTAATTAAATCGCAATATTGAGGTTAAAAAAATATATTAAAAAATCGCAATTGAATATTTTCCAAAATCGTTCAGCCCTAGCGCATACTGCAATCACTAATAATTATATTGTATAACATGGGACATTAAACAGCCACCACAGCCAGTTAGTAAGGATATGTGTGCTATGCACACCATAGCAGAACATGGACTCAGTGATAATACTGCAATTAATTAAATTTCAGAACAAGTCACAACAGAAGTTGTCTCAGGGCACTGAACAGAAACATTCACTTACATAAAAAGTCGATAGTAAAGTTATCTATCTAAGGAAGCCAGCAGATGGTGTTGAATCTTTCACTCATGTAATTAACACACGTAAATGTCAAAATCTCAGAAAGTACATCTTTTAAATCAGCAGGTTCAAGTACCTAAATTTTCCCTAATCTTTGATACTTTTCTTGAATTCGCTGAGTTTTCCATATCTGGAAAATGTGAGTCATTTTTCAGGATTTCCCTGATTTCCAGAGTCGCTGGGAACCCCGTTTAGGGCGATGGGAATTTTGTCCCTTCTCAATTCATTAGCAGCTGCAAGTCTTCGGTATTCATTACTCACAACAACAGCTGCCAAAAAGGCTGACAACTTTCAAAGGTTTTGCAAAAGAGACGACACAAAAAATTCCAAGTGTGCAAACGTGATTTGCTTTTAATGTTACAAAAATGAAAGTAACTTGAATTAATTAGAATTTCTAAGAATTCAGTCTACAACTCCATTGGTTTATCTGAATGGATCCCGTGCATTTTTAGTGCCAGAGGAGGAGAAACGGACTGAGCAGCATTAAGCTTAGATGATCCCAATTCAGAGGTAAATGTTGCATTATACATTGACTAGAACTCTGGATTAGCTTGGTGGTAAAGATATTTAGGGGATATACGTTTGAAGTCTCGTTCAATATCTGAACGTTTAGGCACTGTAAATCTGCAAGTCTTTCACAACACGCAAAAACTATTGTATGTCTTTAAGATAACGATGTAGTTCAAGTGGAATGTTTTTATTATTTTCTAACAGAACACAAATTCTCAAGTACCTGTATTTATTTAGACCGCTGGATGGCTCAGTTCATGCAAATGTTAAAAACATAAGTGGACTTCTATTCTGTAAGCTGAAGATGTTTTGCTTCCCATCCAGTGGGGTTTCTCAGTTCAGTAAAGTCTGGAGTCCATCCAGGAAAGACAATGAGCTTTAAAATGCTTCCAGTGACTTTTCAACATGTTGGATGGTAGTTCAATCAGCACTGGAGGCCAAGTTCTTGTTTGGGGGATACTTGACTACAGGGAGAAAAATAATAATCTAGTTTTCAAGATAATGATCTTAATAATTATTTAGCTGAAGGACTAAGTAACATATTCCCAACTGCAAAGGATGACCACAATAGATGGACAGATTTTTTAAAAAATATTTAAAGTCTAATTAAAAAGATTTGCTAATAAAAATACTACTCTAGTCGGAGTGTTATTTTAGACACAACATAGTGCCTACCACACCTCTAGCAAAAAGAAAAGCAGCCCATACAGGTCCTTCTCAAAAAATTAGCATATTGTGATAAAGGTAATTATTTTCCATAATGTAATGATAAAAATGAAACTTTCATATATTTCAGATTCATTGCACACCAACTGAAATATTTCAGGTCTTTAATTGTTTTAATACTGATGATTATGGCATACAGCTCATGAAAACCCAAAATGCCTGTCCCAAAAAATTAGCATATCATGAAAAGGTTCTCTAAACAAACTATTAACCTAACCATCTGAATCAACGACGTAACTCTAAACACCTGCAAAAGATTCCTGAGGCTTTTAAAAACTCCCAGCCTTGTTCATTACTCAAAACCGCAATCATGGGTAAGACTGCCGACCTGACTGCTGTCCAGAAGGCCATCATTGACACCCTCAAGCAAGAGGGTAAGACACAGAAAGAAATTGCTGAATGAATAGGCTGTTCCCAGAGTGCTGTATCAAGGCACCTCAGTGGGAAGTCTGTGGGAAGGGAAAAGTGTGGCAGAAAACGCTGCACAACGAGAAGAGGTGACCGGACCCTGAGGAGGATTGTGGAGAAGGGCCGATTCCAGACCTTGGGGGACCTGCGGAAGCAGTGGACTGAGTCTGGAGTAGAAACATCCAAAGCCACCGTGCACAGGCGTGTGCAGGAAATGGGCTACAGGTGCCGCATTCCCCAGGTCAAGCCACTTTTGAACCAGAAACAGCGGCAGAAGCGCCTGACCTGGGCTACAGAGAAGCAGCACTGGACTGTTGCTCAGTGGTCCAAAGTACTTTTTTCGGATGAAAGCAAATTTTGCATGTCATTCGGAAATCAAGGTGCCAGAGTCTGGAGGAAGACTGGGGAGAAGGAAATGCCAAAATGCCAGAAGTCCATTGTGAAGCACCCACAGTCAGTGATGGTCTGGGGTGCCATGTCAGCTGCTGGTGCTGGTCCACTGTGTTTTATCAAGCGCAGGGTCAATGCAGCTAGCTATCAGGAGATTTTGGAGCACTTCATGCTTCCATCTGCTGAAAAGCTTTATGGAGATGAAGATTTCATTTTTCAGCACGACCTGGCACCTGCTCACAGTGCCAAAACCACTGGTAAATGGTTTACTGACCATGGTACTACTGTGCTCAATTGGCCTGCCAACTCTCCTGACCTGAACCC